CTGCTACAGCTACCTCAATAAATGTACAGAATTTAGTGTTATACCAGCAATCACTTAGAATTACTCTTCGGGTAATGTCACGTTGCTCCAATTGTACTCCTACTAATTGGAGTGCTAGTACTCCGCTGCAAACGTGTAAAGCTTAAAGTGCACGCATCCTTTATATATATGTCTGAGTTTCGTATTTCTGTAGAATCCCACTTAGCGCGAAACTTGTGATCAAACTTGTTAACCAGTTCTTTTAAACGGCCATCACTTATCGACTCCTCAACAACTTCTTTTTTTATTTTTAAGGCGTAGTTAGGAACTTTCCCAATGAAGAGATTATATACAAGATGAATAGGGATCCGAAAAGAAAGGAACTTTCACACAGCAGAGTAGGAGTCAGAAAATAAATCCTCGCTATCTGGAACCATTTCGCTTGACATCGGTTCCTCCTAAAACATTTTGCAAAAATTCATTTTCCAAGTTTATAAATTTTCAACCAGATCTTAAAGTTGCTTAATTAGGCATGCCTGAATTTCAATGTGCCCTGTAACACGAGTGTTCTGAAAGTACTCATTCAGGAGAACTTACTTCATCTTCATTATCGTCTTTACGAGGTTCACTGGTTTCATCCTTAGCAGTATCCTCATGCGATTCTTCGTCACCTTTATTAACGCCTTTATTTGTTTCGCTGACCTCTTCTTCCACAGTATTCTCGTGCGACTCACTGTTAGAAACATTACTGCAATCGAAACTTTCGTTATTGGTACGTTTTCTTTTTGTTGACCACTCCGGCCAACCATCTAACGCTCCGTCTAAGAACTCAAAAAGCTCGTCGGTTTTTATACAAAAATCTGAAAAAAAGACCAGTGATCAGGAAAAGAGCATCTTGCGTGGTTTAAGTGAATAAACAGGCGGCTGAAAAAATGTCTGAAAATATTCGTACTGCTTTTAATTTTGCAGATGGTATTGACAAGGACAGAACCATACCAATATCCTTAACCTGCAACGTTTTTCTGTTGTACAGTGCAGCTTGGCTGTAGGCAGCTTTCGCTAGGATCTTGATGAAATTTTCCTATAAGTTCCCAAAACAATGACACGTTGATCAAAGGAGCAAAGAATGCATACAACGATGTCTCTAAACTTTTAAAAGCCCATCTCGCATTCCTTTTGAGCGTAAAACTGCGTTTTGTTTCTGTTGTGCCAAATTCTCCAAAATGCCATCATAATTACAAATAATAAGCATATATAGAGGACTAACTGTGGCTAAAGCAATAAGCTGAACAGCTTGAGAAGAAAGCAGGCCGGTGTCTGGGTCAAGTTTACATATACTTTTAACCTTTGATAAGGGTAAACTGGTCTTAGTAGTCCAGACCTTACCATCCATTACGGTCTAAAAATCATAAAATAATGAAAACGATTAAAAGAGTAGAATAATTCGTTCTAGAGGGAAATAGCTGGAGGAAACCAATTCCATGAGTGGCCAACTCAGCATGATGGAGAGAAAACCATGAAGTTATTATACATAGAACCGTTTAAAAAAGAAAGCTACAAGTACTCACCAACTTTCTTGGTTACAAATGCTCAGTTTAAGCTGTATAACAGCAATATTTTTTTTGCTCCGCCACTCTATGATTCTTTTTTTCTTTTTTATTTGATTTTTGTCTCACAAACTTAACTATATGACAGGTTTTACCGCACTGAACAAAAACTTTACCTATCTACAACAGAAAAAATTCGAAGGCCACTGATAAATTCATCAAAATCTTGCATTAAACTCACCAATTTACAAGTACTTTAATGGGTGGAATTCTAAACAAATACTTAGTACATATATATTACGTGTACATGCATCAATTGACTAAAAAAGCCCAACAACTGGTCTGAAAATGATACTTTAACCGCCACTCTCTTTGAACAGTAATAGTTGAACCCAATAAGTTCAACTTCAACTCATATAAGGATCTAACAATTACAGAAAGATAAATAATCAAAAAAAAAAAAAAACAGAAGCATGCCACCGAGTAATCACGGTAAAACATGCTTTAGAACTGCAAAAAATAAACAGACTATTAAATTTCAACGACCAAAGGAATTCGTATTTAAGATTTAAAGTTAGCGCAAAAAACCGTTGTTGGCAGCTCTCCATGTTGACCGTTACGAGACCTTTGTTACCTATACTCAGCAGGAACGTAGTCTTATCGCCGGGAAGTTACCGCATTTACCTGACAGCCAGAATTCCGTAAAGTTAAGAGGAGCTGACTGGCAACAGCATTAGTTGCTGCTGTGGAGTATGTATATCTGATGATATCTGATGTTGGATCATATGCACATTCTAATGCAGTTGCTCGTTGGTGTAATAGGCAAGAAACATGAAAAAGAAGATAAACTTGTAGAATTATAGTTGCAGTGATCGCTGTAATTTGTTATTCTGATATATATTTCGTTGCAACTGGTCCTCTCTTTTTGCAAGATGTTTCTAACACGACTTTTGTTCACTTTCCAAGGTTTGTCAAAATTACAGTTGCTTAAAATTTGAAATATTCTGGGTAATGAGTAGGTGTTGTTAGTTAGGAGGAAAAGAAGTTTGTTTAGCGAATCTGAAGTATTATAAAACTAGATGTTCTTTTGTTGGGGTCGATTCAATCCAGGGGAAATCAACTTTAAATTTTATTCTTTTATTACCAGTAAATGTTTTTCCTGGCCAAACAAACACTTTTTCACTTTTTTATTTTAAGGAACTTTCCCAGTATTGGATTGGCGTCTGAATAAGAGTTCACTAGATAGTGTTATTTACTGTAACTATGCCCGAAATTGCTACTGGTGTAATTGTTTCATAAAGTTAGACTTTTCAGATCTTTGAACAGCAACTGCGCTAGTCCTTGTACTCATCATATTTGAATTCTACGCAGAGTGTTTGACAATGTTTTTTTAAATGTGGTTAATGACTGAGGTTTCTAAAGGAGACTAAGTTGCTTAAGTTTTCTAACTCTAGAAAAAGTTATTAGAGAAGTTTAATCGTACCTCAGGAGTGACAGTTGTTAGAGGAAGTAACATTTTTGTTTTATTTTCAAGCTGATACAGTTAGCAGGTCTTACAGCAAATCGTTTCTTTTTATTTTATTTATTCATTTATTTTTTGATTTATATGCATAAGCTTCGCAAAAGTCATCTGTTAGTTATTGCAAATTTGTACAACTGCTAATCGTTATGAGCCTTTTTCAGGAAGTACTATTACTCATACTTGTTAATCTGGCCGGAAGCACAATAATTACTTTTTTTGAACTGCTGTGGGCTTGATAGTAATGGCGAAATATTGTTTAAGTAAGAAATTTTCCAGTTAATTTCTTTGAAACTGAAATTGTTGTTATTTCTTTGTCAGAGTTCAAAGAATTCTCCTTCACTGTAAATGTTGCAGAAAAGCCAAGTAAGCGCATGACTTGCGCAAAACGTTATAAAATTGAAAAGAAAGTTCGGGAGCACAATAGAAAGATAAAGAAGTTGGAGAAGCAAAAAGGTGAGATTTATTGGCAGTATGTTTATATTTTCTTCATAGAAATGCTTAATGGGTTTTTGTAATACTAAATCATTCTTTATTTTTTCTTAGTAAATTGTAGTTCTTCTATTGTCCTTTACGAGATTAAAATGTCTTTTTTGCTCTTTTTAGTTTATTCATATAAGTGTTGTTTCAGTGCTACTGAATTTATTAATTTGGTAACAGAAAGCCGGATAATACATCAGATTTTCTCAATCGTTTCATTTCCTGTTTTTTAGGCAAAAAGCATAAAGGTTTGAAACCAGTAAGCGTTCCAAACAAATGCCCATTTAAAGAAGAGCTGTTAATGGAGGCCGAAAAAGCTCGGGAGCAAATTGAAAATGCTAAAAAGGAGAAGAAACTGGCAGCAAAGAAAAGGAAAGCTGAGAGAATAATGGAGAAAAAGAAGTTGGGCATCAAAGAAAGTCATGAAACTTTTGCAGCAAAAGCTGCTGAGCAGGTCTGGTCGTAGAATCCTTATTTTTTTTTTTTGTCTTTTGTGTCACATTTTTTTACATTACAGGGAGCGAGTTACGAACGTCTAGCGGCGGCTGGAACATCAGAAATAGCGAAGAATGAACTTACTAAGGAAAAGAATGTTAGGACATACGCGGGTGAAGTTTGGAAAACGGTTGAAGCTGCGGACGTCATTATTGAAGTATAACGCTTTGAAATTTTTTTAGTCAATCCTCAATTAAGTTCTTTAGCTGGGACGTTTCATCTCGACAGACTTTTTGCAGTAAAAGTCTCCTGTAAGGGAGGAAATTTAGCTGGCATTTTTTTCTGGTTTTTAATAGGAACATTATCTGAAAATAATTGATTTTGAATTGTCTTTTTGTATTTCCGGTTTTGGACGCACGGGATCCTCTTGGAAGTCGTTGTCGCAAATTGGAGGAATCGGTTTTAAATGCAGGGAAACGGATGGTTTTACTACTAAATAAAATTGACTTGGTACCAAAGGAGAATGTTCAGAAGTGGTTAACTTATCTGCGTGGCCGATTGCCTACGATTGCATTCAAAGCTTCGACTCAGGAGCAAGCGCTTAAAATAGTGCGTTACATTCGTCTTGTAGATTTTGAGTTCTGATTATTGGTTTGCAGTGACGTTCATATTTTCACAAGGAAGAATCTTTTTTACAGTTTGATTTTTATCCTCATTGTTAAGGGCCGTTTCAACAGTTCAAGCTTAAATGTTAGTAGTTCGAAGTGCATCGGTGCCGACCTGTTGTTAAAACTTCTAAATAATTACTGCAGAAATAAGGATATTAAGACATCAATTAGAGTTGGTATTGTGGGTGAGTTACTTTTTCTAGTGTTATGTAACTTCTGGAGTTTTTACTTCTTTCAATTATGCTTTATTTCCAGGCTTTCCTAATGTTGGAAAAAGTAGTGTTATAAATAGTATGAAGAGGAAACGGGCTTGTAATGTTGGGGCGGAACCAGGAGTTACTAAGTGTGTTTTATTCTGAACGGACTTTTGCCTAGTATCTTTATTGCTGGAAGTCTGTGGTTCTTTCAGACAAGTTCAGGAAGTGGAGCTAGATAAGCATATTCGTCTTTTGGACTCTCCGGGAGTGGTTCTGGCTTTACCACAGGATATGGATTCTGTAGAACTGGCGTTGAAAAATGCAGTCCGACCTGAAACGTTATCTGACCCAGTAGCTCCTGTTCAGGCGATCTTACGGCGTTGCTCTAGAGATGCTGTAAATATTTCATTCTTATTTCAGGATTCATTTTTTTATGTTGTTTGTTTTTTTAAAAATACATTTCAGCTTACTCTTTATTACAAAATTCCTAAGTTTGGAACTTGTGAAGAGTTTCTTTCGTCGCTAGCGCGAAGGTTTGGAAAATTGAAGAAAGGAGCCAGGCCCGATACAGTAGCAGCCGCGAAACGAGTAAGTTTTTTTAGAAGGGTTTTCGCAGTACTGTGTGGAATTTCATAAGTTGTGTAGTGTTTAAATTTTTTATTTTTTGCGTTATAGTATTAGTTTGCTCTAATGTTGGATTAGAATGTAAATTCTTGATAGTTGTTTGTTTTTACTTTGTGGAAAGTTTTTTTTGCTTAATTGCAGCGCTGCATTTTGTTATAACATCTCATTTAAATAAGCAATTTTGCGTTTTTATATTTTAAGCAAGTATTCTCTGCATTTACAGTCAAATTTTAATCCGTCAGTTTTTTGATTTCAGGTATTACACGACTGGAATGCTGGTAACCTTCGTTATTATACCGAACCACCAGTGAACGCCTTAGATGCAAAAAGCAGTAATGATGAGCAACTTTGCGCAGCTGAGATATTGACTGAGTATTCGAAAGAGTTTGATTTAGATGCTCTAGATGAGGACCAGAAAATTGTTGTTGAGGGTAACCTTGTTGTGCCTTACTTATTGGACGCTACCGTGTACTTTGTCATTGTATTCTAATTTTTTGGTCATTTTTTTGAGGCTTACCAGAAACCACCTCTGTGGACGTGCCTTACAATCCTGAGGCTTCAGTTACCGATGGTGGTGAAGAAGAAATAATGGAAACAGAAGACAGTGTGACTGGACAGACTGTTTTGCTTCCTTATTCTAAAGTAGGTGAAGGTTATATGATTTCAGAATTTTTTACTTTTCGATTTTTATGTAATATCGTTTGTAGAAACTAGTAGTAACAGGTGAAGGAAATTGAGCTATTATTCATCAAGGCCTTTTTCTGTGCTTCTTTTCGTGTAGTTGCGAATGCTGTAGGAAGGTGGTAACGATTTTGAGTTGACAGTTATTCTTTTAAAGACTAATTTAATGTTTACAACGGGTGGTGGGGAGATAGCTTTCAAAATGAGTAAGGTGGAAAGCAAAGTGGAAGTGGATCTTGTGGGATTATTTAGAGCAGCTTTTTTTAAATTGCTGTTCACTTCTTACGCTCAGTTTTAATCTAAGCTTCGCAGTTGACCCCTATCTTGGTTTTGCTCTGTCGCTACAAGTTAATGCTAAATTTATTTTCTTTTTTTTTTTTGTTTGCAGAATGAGAAGAAAAATGCAACTGAGATGGATGAATTTAAATTCCCTGCTTCGTTGAAGATTGATGGGAATGTTCAGATAAATCGTGCTATAAAGAAGGCGATTAAACGTCATAAAAAGAAAGAGAGGAAAACTGGTAATGCTGATTTTTTAACTTTGAACGGTTAACATCTCTTTATATGCATTGTAAGTTAAAACTTGAGATTTTGGACTTTACTATACAAAAATTCTCATTGGTTATATTTGTAGAGCAAAGGGCAGAAAATTTGGCGGAAAAGATGGAAGTTGCAAATTTACAAGAAGATTATAACTTTGACGTGCTTATGGATTGATCTGTTTTTGTCTTCATTTGTGGTTGAGTTATATCCTGTCATCTGAGGAGATTACGTTTTACCTGTATGTAAGAATAATTCTAAAAGCTCTTGTGTGTATTAATTCCTTTCCGTGTACCATCTCAAATTGCTGGTCAGTTATTTTAAAACGTTGTGTTTTACTATTTAACCTGTTTGTGAATCGCTCACCAACTCTTGTTTGTTACATTTCCTCGTTGTTGTTTGATGTGCTTCAAGAGAGAAAGTTATTGTTAAACCCTATTTTTTCATCTTTACTGCTCTTTATTTACTTTACATGTGACTTGAGAACGCAGTCTATTTTAAAACTGTTTCAATTAACGGGGTTCTGGGTTTGAACCGAGTTGAGAGACGGAAACATATGGATGTGTTTATTAGGAGGACGGTAAGAAATATGGAATCAAGATAAATAAAGGGGCGGAGACGGATTTGGTTTAAAGCCTGAAATTTTTTGCTTGAGGTGGGGATACTCCGTCTTGAGTGCTGCAAACGGAAAAACAGCGGCTTTCCAAAGAATTTCAGATTTTTTGAATTTTCCCTGGCCAAGGTTCTTCTTCATTGTGAGTTGAAGAGTTAGAGTTTCCAGCACCGGTGTAATGTTTCTTTTGCGGCGTAGAGGTTTTGTAGATTAAAGGTGGCGTGTGCTGTTACTGTTCAAGGTTGCATGACAATATTCTACAGAACTAATGGATCTGGCTGAGTTTTTATACCGGTTTGATGGAATAAGCATTGTGGTGATCACCAAGCACCATTTCTGAATTTTTTGTATTTGAAGGTTTGGGTCCTTTGGGAGCGATTTATTCATAAATTTTTATTTTTATTCTACAGTTTAGGAATTCATAGTGCTTAATTTTTGGAACGTCTTATAATTTACAGATTAAAATAATTCAAAGTCGGTTCAAGCCAACTTTTTGAAGTTTTGAGAAAATGTATAAAGAAAATTGCAACAAAGTAACCTGGTTCTTTTCCATTGAATAGGTAAAACTCTAAAAACTACTTTACTGGGCTGAAAAGCTCATTTATTTAGGCTTTTTTTGGGCGTTTGACGGCAATGAGTGGAGCTCTTAGGTATCGTTTTTTCATTAAAATGATCTATCACCTAACAAATAGAAAAGTGACGGTTTCAGTTTCTTCAGATCGGTGTCAGATAATATATGTACATGTAGTTTGAGTTTTAAAAATTTGTTTGTATTGAAAAAGTCAGCTATTTCTTGCTTGTTGTAGTTCCACTTTTTTTTTTTAAAAAAAATTAAGGCAATTTTGACGCTACAGTGACCTGTAAACTATCTGTTTGAAGGTCAACTGTACAAACTGATCTCATATTAAGAAATGATTGCAGTGTTTCGTGTTAGAGTGGTAGTCTCCGGTATTATTCTAGGAAGTTTACATTGGGAGTTCTAAGTACAGTAAGGTAATTTTGATGAGTAGGAATGTGGTTTAAAGCAAATGCATTTAAAAAACTTGTTTTCCATCTACCATTATCAGAGTTGTAATCTTCAAATGTAA